TTCCCGAGTTGTCTTTTAGTTCAACTTTCGAATATTTGCATCCTTAGTCCCTGAACTATCACTTTGCTCCATTTTAGTCCTTTCTCGGCTCTCTTCTCCTGAATTCCACTATTTCCATAGAAACACCTACATTGTATGAATTCAATGAGATTAAGTCACAATTCAATCATTTTGCTTGTATTTAAGTCATGTTTGTAATCTAAATAAGTGTGCAAAAACACACTTATTAGTCTACTTCCCTCTTCTTTTATGAAAGAATCAGTTTCAATATTTAATGTTGCATGTCCTATAAAATAAAACAGAAGATCTTTATTGATCAAAGTACAAAGGATAGTCATATTTACTGAAACATATTTACCCTTGGCTTCTTATCTCTTTGCTCTAGCTTTTTCTACTTTAATTTTTGATTCGCATTTTAGCATTATTGGATACAATATGCTCGTGATGTATGCATACAGGATCATAAGTGAACAGTGTGTTTATTCACTGCAATAAAATCTTCTAAGGTTGAGCCTTTTAGTGTGGCCAACAATATTTTTTGAGTATGAAGTACTCTGTTTTCTTTATTGAGTTACTTAACAGGTGCATTCACTTGAACCTTAACAAGGCCCCTCCCTTCCCAAACTAAGAACTGGAGAAAACTTCTATACTGTACAGAGTGACCAAAAATTTGGATGGTTGACTGACATTTCCCTATGAATTACAGAGATATTGGATTTTGGTTACCCTCAAAACCTTTCACCTGAAATCTTGAAGCTTTACATTACTCAGGATGGTGTACGCTCACCATTTTCCTCCAAGGTTAGATGTGCGACTTATCTCACCATTTTCTTTGGAAGAACAATATTCAGGGAAATAATGATTTGAAGAGATCTATGATACTAGTTTATAACTAAATGGAAAATCTTATGCCTTGTGAAGTGATACATGCTACTAATTTCTGAATTTCATGATGATTATCGTAATACTCTATGCCTTGTGTGAACAACCAAACAGCCTGTAGACAGACCAATTCCAAATGCTACTTTACAAGTAACTGGTGCTGTTGGCTGGCGCAGGGAAGGTCTTGTCTATAAGAAGAATGAGGTTGGCTCTTCTATCTGATACCATTACTTTGTCATATTTTAATCACTGCAATTATACTAAATTAGCTTCTATTTGTCGACAGGTATTTCTTGATATTGTTGAAAGTGTTAATCTTCTTATGTCTTCCAAAGGTAAATAATTATTAATGGTGATCATTTGTGCATGATGCAATTTTTCTCGTTTCTCATTTTCAACCTGAGAGTTGAGGACAACATTTTATTGTGATTATATTTCCCCTGTTCATTTTTGCTTTTGCTTCTCACTGACAATTTGGTAATTTAGGTAGCGTTCTACGTTGCGATGTAACTGGGAAGATCGTTATGAAGTGCTTTCTTTCTGGAATGCCTGATTTAAAGTTGGGTTTAAATGATAAAATTGGCCTTGAGAAAGAGTCACAGATCAAGTCCCGCCCTACTAAAAGGTAGCTTCCATATAATCATCGGTTGAAGATATCGAATTACAGAACTTATAGAATGGTCAAAGAAAAAATAATTTTTTTGACAAAATGACATGTCAATAATCTCACAGGAATATAAGAGTCCTTTTCTATTATGAAATATGGAAAGAAACAAGGGCAATCTTTGCCACCATACTTTACTACTTTAGAATATCTACTTCAGTTCAGTCCTTGTTGCTCTTTGTGAGGATAGAGGTACAAATATTGATAAAAGTCAGTGAAACTGAACTGCCACTTGTCCAACCCATATGTATTAACTTTTATTTGCACTGATGTTGTCATTGCATTAGAAATCATCTCAGCTGGAATCCTGATGTTCTGAAAGTTGTTTTTCGTCGATCTCTACAAACACACCTCAATGATGCATATCATGATGATTAACTTTGAAATTTGTATATTATTATCTTATCGTGTAAAATGAGATCTATTTGAGGTTGAGCACGGTCCTTTTATATATCTTCCTGTCTTCTTATGATTTTTCAATTAGTCAGGTATATTGTAGTACACCATCTAAAAGTTACGTTAATCATATAAAACATAGTAAGTCACCATGCTAAATAGTATTGAAAGTTCTGTAATTTTGTATCCTTGGTGCTGTAGCTAACTGTTAACCATCTTCCTGGGGTTCACAAGAATTAAACTCCTTTATCTTAATATCTATCATTTTATCCCTCTAATTGCTGACATGCTATTTTACTAAGGAAAGGGGTATCTCTTATGGTAGACAATCAATTCATGCATTTCGAAGGCTGTTTTCATTATTTTTTAGGTGACCACAATAGGATTGTGTGTGGTTTATATACTTGATTGTTTGATATTTAGAGAGAAGTCAATGGTAGCTGGTTTATGCAACTGTTATCTTTGTTGGTTTTACTATATGCTATATTTTTTCCTTGTTCTCCTAGGCTACTATATTGACAACTCTGTGATACATTCCATGTAGCTGGAAGTTGATATTAGTTCTCAGGAATTACTTGAAATTTGCTTTTATTAGAGAATAATGGTGCCTTCTCTCTCCAGGCAATTTTTTCAAATGCTTAGCTGCAATTCTATTCTTTTATATCATTTTAAACTATTTTACCGTAGTCTGCTTTGTTAGTATTAGCTGCTGCATGATTAGTTCCTAGGTTTTGTTGATAGCCTTATCTATTACTATGCTACTTGTGCCTGAGAAAACTTTGGAGCTTGATGATGTTACTTTCCATCAGTGTGCAAATTGGACAAAAAGTATTCCTTGTTCTTTACCGTGTTAATTGTGCAGTGGGAAAACTATCGAGCTTGATGATGTTACATTTCATCAGTGTGTAAATCTGACAAGATTCAATTCAGAAAAAACTGTCAGTTTTGTTCCTCCTGACGGTGAATTCGAATTAATGAAGTAAGTTCATAGTTCTTTTTCTTTCTTAATCAACAGTTGTGGGAGGGATTCTTTTGTGGAAGGTAAGAAAACTGAATATTTCGTCCAATGTAACAATTCTTATTTAGTCAAATTTGTTTCTTTAAATTTGTCCACATTAGCTACAAAAATGAATACAATTTTAGATTTTTTCCACGACATTATGTTATTAAGGCCCTATTTTTAGAGAATGTGTAGTTAAAAAGAAGCTTTATTGGTTTTTCTATAGAATATTTTATTGTGTGAATGTGTGGTGGAGAATGATATTGTAGCAAACAATTTAAATTTTTAAAGGTTGTCAAACAGGGGCTCAGGCTGTTGCTCATTGTACTAATGCTTGGTCTCAATATCAAGGTCAAGAATGTTTAGGAAATGAATTGGATTACTGAATCCATCACTTCTGATATCTAAAGTTTCTGCCTTGTAGAAGAATTTTATTTGTGCTCTTAAGTGACCATTGCATGAATTTAGACCCTACAACAAATGGATATTGGTGATGATGAAACATGCCCCTACTATTTGCCTGACATGTAACATGGTTTTCCTTGATATTATGGCTTCTACTACTATTTTGCCCCTGATATTCTGAATAAAACATGTTAAGAGTGGTGGAGAGGTAGAACAAAATTAACATGGTGTGGTGTAGTTAAATCGTATTTTTTGTCGATCACTTTTTCTGGCCAAAAAAATCAAGATCGCAATGACTCAACTCAGCTGATAGTTTCTGAATCTGCACAGTGAGTAATCATATGTTAACGAAATTTTGTTTCTATGTCATTTTTGAGAAATTGTGAAAAAATTTACTAATCTGCCTCATTCTTAGAAGAAGTGACGCTGTTGCTATTTGTTCAAAGGATATATCTCAATTGCTATTGTCACATTATGTTTCATTGGATCTATTACTATGTTATAAAATATTTATTATGGTACTGTTATGTAATATCTGTAGCAGCCTTGGTGTTTGAATTGCTGCTGGATACATGTTTATCTATTCTGTATGTCATTTTACACAAGTGCACTAACACTACCCTTACCACAGGTATCGTATTACAGAAGGGGTGAATCTACCATTTAGGGTACTGCCAACTATCAAGGAATTGGGTAGAACGCGCATGGAAGTGAATGTTAAGGTTAGCCATCTTATTTTATCGTGCATTCTTTTGTATGCAACACACCACACGTTTGAATTGGCATGCTTCATTCAGGTGAAAAGTGTGTTTGGGGCAAAAATGTTTGCACTTGGCGTGGTTATCAAGATTCCAGTACCAAAACAAACAGCAAAAGCAAATTTTCAGGTGACATCTGGCCGAGCAAAGTACAATCCATCTATCGACTGTTTGGTCTGGAAGTAAGTCTTAGATACATTATTTTTTGGCATTGCACATCTGAGCCCCGTTAATTTCATTCCAGTATGATACCCTTCAATTATTGTCCTCTACAAAACACTACACATCTATCATTTATAAGTTTGTTTTCTGTCTGATTGAGCCACGCGTGGTTACATTCATGATTTCTTATCCCCAGATTAATTTAATGAGTCTTGTTCACATGAAGATGTTTAGGCAGGCAACGAGGCACCAACATCTTGTCATGTGCCCGCCTCACTTGATACTTTTTTGCGTCTACCGCTCTTGTGGTCCTGCCCAATGGCTGAATTTAATGGGATTGTAGTGTCGTAAAAGCAAATATCTTAGCTAATGACTTTAGATGGCATGTTTCTGTTCTAAAACTATAAGAAATTTAAAACATTTTCTTACGCTCTTACAATTAGACCATCGTCATAAAGGCACGTAATAGAGTCTATCTTCTTGTTATTCAGAAGAAAAATTAATGATGTCACGCATTTATACTCTACATGTAATGAAAGTTGATGCAGAGGTTTTTAATGATTCACATTTTACTATACGGTTGCTTAAAAATCATATTCATGCTAGAATACCAATCATTATGTGCAAATCTGGATGAAGCTATGCCATTACTATTCGATTTTTGATACGTTACATAAGAGTTTAACTATTATAAATACATTTTGTTATCATTGTTTTAGGATCTGTGTCAAAGGTCCTCAATTTGCCATTTTAATTCTGGCAGACTGGCATGGACCTCTACAATCAAATGAAACTGAATATTGACATTAGAATGTTCTGAAGTTCTATAAATGTCGGCTTTTTGTTGAAACTCTCATTACTTTCTCGTGACATCAAAAGCACTGGGTCCCCTCACCCCAGGAAAAGATGTCCTCACCCTGCACCTCTAATCCAGAACTCTCCCCCATCTTCAACCACCACTACCCCTTTTAACCTGCATCCCTCTCACCATTCTCAACCCCAAAAACAAATTGATTGAAAAAGGAAAAGGAAAAGTTAGAGCCATCAGACCATAATTACCGTCAGTGATGCAGGTCAATCACCAGGCCACCCCCAAAAAATACCAAAACTTCCATTATTAAATTGAGTCCTCACCCATTCCCTAAAATCGGATAAAAGATTTTAAATTTCATTTTATAATATGATAAATTTGGATACTTTTTCTTTCTTTATTTTGTGTATGCATGTGTTAGAAACAGATCTGAAGATAGGTACGTTCCCATCTATATAAGGTGTCGGTAGAAGTTGGCTTTGTAGTGGCATTGGGTTGTGCACTATGGTGAAGTGTTAAGAGGGAGATACGGACAAAGAGGGCAAATTAATTCTTTTCCAATTTTAAACGTGTTCTATAAACATACACAAGAATATTCTTGTTTCAGGTATATGGGTCAAAAAGAAAATCTTGGCCTGATTTTGTGAGGTTCCAATGTGTGTTGACTGGTGGACTGCTCCCATTTTGAGCCAACCTGTTTAGACCCATTTATTCTATGGGCGGCTTCATCTATTTGCATCTTATTTATTTTCTATACTGGGGTCTTTGCAGGATAAGAAAATTTCCTGGACAAACTGAACCGACAATGAGTGCTGAAGTGGAGTTAATTTCCACAATTACTGAGAAGAAGTCTTGGACTCGACCTCCAATCCAGATGGAATTTCAGGTGCTCAATCATTTCATTTGCTAGTAAATCTTAAAGGTTTATATCCACTTCATTGCCCCATTTCAGAAGGAAAAAAATATCACATTCAAAAAGGAGGTTATGAGGAGATCATTCACTTGGTTTTGTAATAATTTAATGAGTTCCACTGATGTCGTGTATCAATTATAACATCAAGAAAGGCTGAAAGAGTTTGGCAGATGATGGGATTTGTGGAGGTGGTTTTTTATTTTTATTTATTTATTTATTTATTATTATTATTTGTGAGGGCGGAGGGTGAAATATGACCCTTTTTGAAGATTCACAACATGATGCCATCAGTCACTTGAAATATATTTTTCTGTGTAGTTTTTTCTACTTAAAAACACAATAACATCATTTTTGGAGCAGGTTCCTATGTTTACAGCATCTGGATTGCGTGTTCGTTTCCTCAAGGTATATAACTCGTATATTTTAGAGAAGTTTATTTAATACTTGCACACATTAAGAATGTGGCTTCACTTACGGTCGGTCTGCAGGTATGGGAAAAAAGTGGGTACAACACAGTTGAGTGGGTTCGTTACATTACAAAAGCTGGTTCATATGAGATTAGATGTTAGGATTCATGGAGTAGCAGCTGCTGTATATTCCCAATGCCCTGTGGAGGGAGGAGATATCAATCAGTGCATTTGGCCTCAAATTCAAAGCTGCTTCCCGTCCATATCCTGTGCCATTCGAGTTAAATGTTACTCACAAGAAAATTATAAAATTATAAGTTTAGGTTGATAATTCTGCGAGTTGAGAATAGGCTAATTTAGGGATTTGAATTTGATTCTTTTAGTAGCACTGTAAAAATGAGCATTTGATTAACATTCTGGTCTGCTATATTTTGCCACAGTTGATTTGTTGGTTTGATTTTTCAAATCGCTGAGTGAAAATTTTATTGCAATTTGTTTGGAGTTGGAAATAATTTTTGTTTGCGGGACTGAGAGTTTGGAACATAGTAATGCACATTTATTAATGTCATCTTAAATAAGACATATTTCTATGTTTAAAGATGACATCAATTAATGTTGTTACATTGTCACCAAGACTTTTGATCATTGTCCAATTGGTATTCGAATTTAGGATTAAACCCCCTGTCCCGGGACAGGGGTGAAAACAGGGGCGCCAAGCCGGGACAGGGAGCACGATTGTAGAATTTAACTTAACTCTCTGATATAAGTACTATTCGATTTGAGAAAGTCTAAGCCCATGTAGATAGCATCATTCATTGGGATATGGATGTGTACTTCCATTCTCTTTGATGAAACTGCAATTTGATGGAGTGTCAACTTCACCCCCAATTGGCTTTGCACTGATGATGATGTTAAAATATTGGGGAAATTTCACCGATGGTCCTCTCTATCTATTGACTTGAGTTGCAATATCATACTCTAACTTATTCTTTTTGGTGTCATACTCCCCTAACTTTCTGTTTTATTGCGGCGTTGGCCCCCAACCCCAAACAATGAATTCCATCCATTGACGGTTGAAAGTTATTTTTATTGAATTGACCATTATACCCTTGTTTTTAGTAGAAATGAGAAAATTTGATTCATAAAAGATGGATAGGGCTATTTCTATCCAAACTTTTTATAAGTACATCTTACTCTAAGTTCATCCTTAATAAAATATTAAAATTCTAAAAAAAATACTATTTACATCAACGTTATATTCCAATCTTGTCCTTACTAAATTCATTCATTTAATCCACATAAATTTTATATATTCATCTCATTTTAAATACATCCCTAACACTATGGATTCATTTTTTATTTTATTTTATTTTTTTTAGAATCTGTAAGGAAATTTTGTACTACACTACAAATATTCACAACGCATCATTTATTCTATCAGTAACAACATTATCTAGCCTTGACAAAGTTACGAATTTATCATAAACTTACATAAAAGTTGAACTAATAATAACTTGTGAAGAATCAAAAACACCAACAGTTTTTTCATAAAACATTTAGTAAAACAAACATCAAATGTGTAAAATTTATTTAAAACTAAATTACAAGGGGAAAGTAGGAGTAGTTTAGTAATCATGTTTACATAACACCAAAACAATTTCAAATTAAGTCCGCCGATGACTACCACTGCCCATGATTTAGCTTCTTCCTGAAATTTTCCATAAACATCCTAGTATTGAAGAATTTGAATTCAGCAAAGGTCCAAATGATGCATTGTCTTGACTAACAGAATTTTTCAGAGTTAAGCATTGGCTGTTTTGGGGATGAGAGGTGGTGTCGATTTTATCCCGCAATTGGACGGATTGTAACAAGTAGTAAAGTAAACATTTTTTAGTCCGAATTATCGTTCCCACGAGAACTATACTCTAGTACTCAATTTATTATTTCTAACTTCTATTTAATGAAGATAAACCCAAAAAAAAAAAACGATGATTGATTGCTATTTAAAATCAAACTTCTTAAAATGTGAATGCAACAAAAGTGATTGAGAATTTAAATAATGAATGGATATTAGAGCGGAACAAATTCACCTATTGGTTATCTTTACTTCTAATATCGAGATTCATAATATCTAAAGTAGTGTTCGGTCGAATTCTTCTATGGTATTTAATTTACCTTTGTCCAGTTCTCATTGAGCCTAATTAAATAATTCAATTCCATATCTCTATGCGAATCAATATTATTTAAATGAAATAACAGTTCTAAGAATTCCTATAGGATCGCAACAATTAATATAGGTATTTCTACACGTTATATTAATTTGCTGAATTTTAATACGTGATCTAAACAAGAATCTGCATCTCTATATAATTATTATTCACGAAATCATTGAATAATTTACTAGAAAATTCAAAGCATTGAGAACATAATTAAAATCCATACATAAAACATAAAAGAATAAGAATCTCAAATAAAAAAAATAAACGTCCCAAAATTGACGGAACGTGATTAATTTCCAATTTTGCTCCAGCCGTCCACTGCCTTTCCCTTGTCGGCCGACAAGTGCTCTCTCTCCCCGGGTTACTGGCAGCCGAAATTATTCCTCTTTGCAACCGGCCAAATTGTCTAAAATATATATAGTATTGCTACTGCCTCCTTTTCTTCTTCCTGTAGGTGTTTGTACGTATAAATCAATATATTGGCTGCCTCAATATTTCTTTTTTCCTCGTGAATGTGGCGTCTGCAATTTTTATTTAAAGAAGGGACATTTTTAAGAATGTCCAATTTTAATGGTATGAGTTGAAAAGTATCAACTCATTTAAATTTAGTGTCAACTTGTCTATTATGTTTTTAATGAAAAGCTACATTTTGAAATGATATCCTCGATATTTTAAATGTCGTTCTCGATATTTGATTTTTTTATCAATTTGTTGCGAATTTTGAGAAGTGGCTTCCATGAGAAATTACATAAAATTAATGTTTCTCGACATTTCATATGTCATTCTCGACATTTAAACACCGTTTTATTTGTCTAGAATGATATTTCTTTTTGAATATGACATTTCTCTACATTTAAAAATATTGTTCTCGACATTTTTGAATCGATGAAAAATATAGCATTTATTGTGATTTGACATGTATACTTTTTTAAATAAATATGGCAGGTTATGTGTCAAAATTTTATTGACCAATAACAATATTGCAAAAATGTTCATTTTTTATTTTAGTGTGGAATTATAAATTATTAATAAGGATATTTTGGTCTAAATTCTTTTAAATTAAATATTTTTGCAATAGTGAATATTTTTACAAATGACAAGGTAAAAATGGACCCCCAAGCTGCCTCAATTTCCGTGTGTGTAACTAATAAGTTGGTTCCCAATTTTTTCCCAAAAACTGCTCCGATTTCCGTGATGCATATCCCTCTATTTCCCTTCTCTGCCTGCACATATAAAAATCTCCCAGCCGCAATGGTTGACTTAAAAAAAAAGACCCCAATTCAAGCCATTAATGATATATTACACTTTCAGTCCTTAGTCTTTTCATTCTTGCAACTTATGTATTTCTTGATTCAATTCAAGTCTATCACTTTCTAAATTATGAAATTCGATCTCCAAATTTTGCATCCAATAGCCAGTTTAGTCCTCGTACTTAGACTTTGTCATTTCTTTGCCGATTTTTGCTTGTTTCCTTCAATTCCTTTTTATTCATAGAGTTTTACCTATTAAAATACAAAAAAATTATGATATAATTTGTCAAAAGAACCATCAAATATCGTTATTTTAGGCATCGAATAAGTGTATAAAATACATTTATCAAGAGGAATGGGCAACTGGCCTTTCTGAGAGACCTTCATCTTGGCTTCTTGCTCACAGGTCTTCTGCATCTGGGGCATTCTCTCCATAACAAGCTCGTACTTACACTTTTTATAGGCGCTTCACCTCACACTTCCAGGGCAAATAGAAAAAATACAGTGCAATTCTAGAATGTGGTGAGCATGAGTGTAGTAGGTGAGGAGAATCTCTCTCTAAGAGTTTTCTAGAATAGGAATTATTTATTTGGATTTTGGGTGGTGTTGTAATTCTAGAATGTTTTAATTACGCTAATTATATGATTTCATCAGTTAATTGGAAAGTGATCAAATTAGTCAATTTTTTAGAGTATTGCGTAATTTTTCCTAATTATATTCATGTAATTTTTCTTAATTTATTAGGATTCTAGTTAAACACAAATTCTAAAAGAATAAAAAAGGATTTAGGATATATTTAATGAAAGTAAAAATTAGGGAATCAATTTAGAGTTTTGTATTTTTATTTAATTTTGTTTGTGTCTATTTAAGTAAATATACATAGGATTTGAAATATAATAAAAATTTATTTTTTAAAAGTGGATGTATTTGTAAAAAGTGTGGATGGAAATAACGATACCCTAAAAGATTAAGTATGACACATTTCAAAACTAAGAAATAAAATTTTAAATTTCAAAAATTAGATTTTTTAAAATGTTATTTACAAAATAATTAATCAAACATATCTTTGATTAATTAAATATGTTAAGGTCACAATTTTATATAATTTGATCACAAACTATCGAATTCAAAAATTATTTTTCTTCACAATAAAAAAATTTATGGTTATGGGTCATAAATTATTTCTTGGTTGCAAATAAAATTTTTTATAGGTTACAATTTATTTAATGGACACAAATTTGTCAAATTAATAGATCACATATTATTCATTGATCACAAATTACAAATTTTATAAGTCACAACTTATTTCATGGTTACAGAATATCTAATTAATTAGTTGCAAATTATTTTTTGGTCACAACTTATCAATTTTTTAGGTCGCGTGTTATTTATTAGTCACAATTTATTTATTTCATTTATCACATATTATTTATTGATTATACATTAACCAATTTAGTAGTCACAATCAATCAAATAATTTGTGACCACCGCCATGATGATTACTGCCACCTCACCAACACTACCATTTATGACCATGACCACCATCACATCATTAGAACCATCAATTCACCACCACAACCTGTGCCACAACACCATCTTACCACCAACAAATTAGATCCAAAATTGCCAACATCACAAATCGCGATCACCTCATCGCAGTTATCATTGCTTCCACCATCGCTGCTGCCACCACCATCACCATTTTCAACCACCACTACAACCAACATTCCTTCACTAACCTGGCCATCAGATCCACCACATGCACCAACCACCATCACCACCTTTACCAATGTCCCTGCAACCAACCATCACACCAACAACTAACCAAATGGTATCTCCACCGCCAAGGTCAGTAGTTTCATGTTGTCAACGTCGCCTCCAATTTCTATGAATTATCAAATTGTACATAGAGCCCTTATCAACACTATCCTCACCGTCACTTCCACCGCCAGCACATCTACTTGCACTACCAACAAAAACCACCCCAATAATGCCAAAATATGGAAATCACCACCACTACTTCA